ACTCTTTACAATTGCCTGTAAACTGGCACAATAAACATATTATTATTATTATTATTAATAATCAAAGGCACAACTTCTCTTCTCGACGCTGACTTTACTCCCCAATTTACGGAGAAGTCACAAATTCTGAAAAGCCGGACTGAGCATTCCCAAAGCGCACTCAATAATCCCTCCAACATCTCCAACGCCGCTGACCTTTAACTCCCACATACCCCATAGGAAGCCATCGAGGTGGCTGAAGCGAGCCCTGTAGAGATTTACAAATAAGGTTCCCACCAACTGATTTCTTACCTCATCGTGCTCTTTCAGGAAATGTGGTGATAAGGCCAGGTCCCCCAAGACTTCAAGGACGCCACAATTGTCCACTTCTAAAAGCAAAAGGAGAACTGCCAACTCTGTGACAATCATCGCGGAATTTAGGTGCTCACAATCGCCGGCAAAATCTTCGCTCCTTAACCATCTCAACAATCACCTGGAACAAGGAGTCCTGCCAGAAAGCTAGTGTGATTATCGTCGTCATCGTGGCACCACCGATATGATTATTGCCGCACGACAGCTACAAGAGAAGTGTCAGGAGATGCACACACACACAACACCTACACTAACTTCTTGGACCTTACGAAAGCATTCGACACGGTGAATCGCGTTGGAATTTGGAAAGTTATGCAGAAATCCGGCTGTCCGGAGCGCTTCATTTACATATTACGTGAGTTCCACGACGGGATGATGGCGCGCGTCTCGCAAAATGGGACGGTTGCCGAAGCCTTCACACTGACCAATGGAGTAAAAAAGGACTGTGTCCTCGTACCTACCCTCTCTCATGTTCTTTGCCATGCTGATGGATGCCTACCCTGAGTAGCATCACGGGATCCGCATCAACTACAGAACGGACGGACACCTCAACATCCGACGTTTACAGGCCCGCACGCGACCACAGTTCATGACCTGCTGTTCGCGACGATTTCGCTCACAACACCAAAACAGAAGCGGATATATCAATGACTATGGAATTCATCGCCACCGGTTGCGCCGGTTCGGTCTTACTATTAAAGCCCAGTTTGTTATGACTCGACAAATAAGCAGAAGAAGGCAAGAGAGCGGATCTGATAGGCCGTGGCTTTGTTCAGCAGCAAACAAAGACAATGGGGCTTGCGAGGTCCTTTAGCTTGCCCACTCCGGCACACGTACATGTATATGTTTTCGGTGTTTCTTGAATATTCCTTACGTACAGTGTGCGCATCGGCATTCTAGAGCCATCTCGACTAAGACCACTACCCCCCCTATATGGGTTGTCGTCTTGTTTGCTCGGTGCACGGTGTGGGCGGCTGGTATACTGGTGTGACGTACCACGGGCGACTAGACTGTGGGCTTTACTGTGGGCATGACTCAGCTGGTGTTTCCTTTTCGCCGACTGCCATGAATGCATGGTGGCTCCCGCCTCCGTAACACTTACCATCAACAAGCATAAAACGGTGGTCATGCAATAACTACCATCGGGTACTGATTACAATGCTCGACGCGTCAATGTCAATGGCACCGATCTCAAAGACGTGGACAACTTTGTCTATCGTGTGTATATGTATATTTTAAGGGTTAAATGCAAGAAATGCCCCTGAAGACGCTAAAAATGTAAAGTAAACCATATGATTGTAGCAGTCAATATTAAGTTGAAACAAGATGTGGTAGTATGACACAAATTTAAATGAATTTCGCTAAACAGTGCGAAACAGTACGAAAACAGTCTAGAGCCATGTTGGTAGCACGCTATCTCGCAACACCAGAATTGACGACGTGTTTGCTTACCGGATCTCCAAAACTTATTAAACCTTCGGCCGGCTTCAAGCCTCCGTTTAGAATAGTCACAGTCTCCAGCTGTCTCCAAAAGCGAAGAAAAGGTCGTCGTCGTCACGACACTCTTCTGGGGAGCAGAGAATTGGACCATGTACGCCAACCAAGCTCGGAAGCCAAACCATTCCCAGCTCAGCGTTCGCCTCCGAATACTGAAACTAAGATGGCAGGACAGAATCCAGGACACGCAAGTGTTGGAGAGAACAAGACCAGCGGATGGTATGGATGGACGACCAATGATTACATAAGTGACTGTTTTACAGGGATGTTGCTGTGAGTACTTTCCGCAAAGAAGGATAAAAGAGACGCTATAAATCTTCAAATCAACAAGGCGACCTCGGAGGAACTCGCATAAGACCGATCTACTTGGCGAAGAACG